TGTCAAATATGTTTTGACATAAGCAAACTTCTTCCATTCTTCTGGACTCTTGAGGTCTTCTACCTCTAATTTCATCTATTGTTTCAGTCTGATTTCACTATAATCTCTATTACTAATATTGATGTGATTGGATTTGTGCTGTAGTTTTATAGAAAAATACACACACACAAAATTCCATGATATAAGACAGTGTGAAGTAATCAGTGAAGTTGATATTTGGAATCTCAGGTCAGAAATCTTACTTTTATCTTTTTAGTCAAGTCTAATGTCCACTGCCAAATGCATTTTACATAACCTAATTGTTACACAGTACAAAATAAGTTGTATCATGCAATTATTTTCTTTTTTTTTTAAATTTTATTTAAGAGGTGTGTTCTTTAGAGGTAAAACAACAGACAACAAAATTGCAAATATATTTTAAAATCAATCTTTTCTGGTTCTTTAGTGCACTGGGTTTGGCTGGGATAGAGTTATATTCTTCACAGTAGCATGTATGGTGTTCTGTTTTGAATTTGTCCTGAAAAAGAGCCTTGATAACATAGAGATGTTTTCATTATTGCTGAGAGGTGCTGACACAGGGTCAAAGCCTTTTTTGCTTCTCGCTCTACCCCACCAGCAAGGAGGCTGGAATTGCTCAGGAGACTGGGAGGGGATGCAACTGGGAGAGCTGACCCCAACTGACCAAAAAGATATCCATACTTTATGATGACATGCTCAACATATAAAAGTGGGGGAAGAAGAAGGAAGGGGAAGACCTTCAGAGTTATTGCATTTGTCTTCCCATGTCACCATTACATGTGATGGATCCCTGCTCTCCTGGAAATGGCTGAACACCTGCCTGCCCATGGGAAGTCGTGAATTAATTCCTTGTTTTGATTTTTGGCTTTTGCTTTACCTACCAAACTATCTTTAACTGAACCCAAGAGTTGTTTCTCACTTAGCCTTTTGACTATCTCTCTCATATCACTGGATTGGAACGAACAAGTGGCTACATGGGGCTGTGCTGCCTACCAGGGTAAACTACAATATCTAGTCACGGCATTTAGCCAACCCTTAATCTGAAAAGCCTGCAAATAAAATGCATGTAAACTGCTACATATGCCATGAAAAGTTATGATAAATTTATTTTTGATTCTGAAGAAATATCAACACAAATGACTTCTTCATAGGAATCTATTGTTAAGGTTATAAGATTTCAAATATGAAGAGCATATTCTTGAAAAAGAAACTAAACTGTGAATTAGAGTTCTTAGTATGAGTTTTAGGTACCATACTGGTTTTGCCAAATTGAGATCTTATGAAATAAAAACATAACCTCTGCTCAAGCTGGAATTCACAGTTCTAGCTTTTGAAGTGTTCTAATGCATGCACCTTTATAATGTAATTTTCCTTTAAGTTGCCACTGCTTGTAGATTTATTTGCTGTGATTGAGTGACTAGTTGCAATTTTGTCTTAATAAATGCTGGAATTGATTGTTGCAATTTTTAAGATCTTACTGTGAAAATCCAGAACATATCCTTGACCCTAAAGTGCACCTATGGTCAAGCATGTCGAGGTGATAATCTGATAAACTGACTCTCCCACAGCCACACATATGCTTTTCCTCATTAATAGGTAGTGGAATGGCATAATTAAGTTTACTGAAGAGTAGAAAATGCAATGTATTACCTATAGAATGCAGAGTACACAATATCGGACTTTACTTGGTTAAATAAAACATTGCACTGTGCTGTTTTCTAATAGTCAAACTATAATTACCTTTCAGAAAATAGTATTGTCTTTTTGTTAAATCTGCATTTCAGATACTTCCAATATTCATACCTTGTACAAGTTTCCTAAGAATGGTATGCCATGTCCTAAAATAAACTGATAATACATTCACCCTTAGTGTCTGAATCAAATATTTATTTGGTAATTAAGTTCATATTGCAAATAACAGTAGAACATTAAAACCCCCAGAGATATCTGAGATATAGAATATATACCTTTTCTTCAAGTAAACATGTAAGTAAAATTCTTCTAATGAAGCAATAAACTAGACAGTGAAATTCATTTATCTTGTTTGATTAATTTTTTACTACCTGTTGAAATTTAATACAGTGTGAAAACTGTCCCACTAGTTTCCTTAAACACATTTCCTGGTGATGAAAAACATTTTCTTTCCTGCTGTTACTTTATAACATGGAAGTATTATATTAATTTAAGAACGAATCCTTTCATTCTCTCTATTAAACTGATTACATACAAATCCAAATCTGTGGATAAAAGCAATATCCCCTACCTCAAAAGCAGTTCACTGTTACGATGGGAAACTAAATGAAGAGCGAATAGAAAGGCTCCAGTTGTTCAAGAAGGATTCTGTGTTGCCACTCACAAGGCACATCTTTGATTGTGAAGATTAAAGCAATTAGTTTTTTATTGTGTTCCATACCTGACAAATTAATCAGATAATGATTTAATCAGTAACAACAAAGGTTTAATTTAACTCACAATAAACAAGACTTATTTATTGCACTCTCCTATAGGGGGTGCACTCTAAGTAACTAGACTATAAGGCAGAATAATTTTGCCTCTTTTTATTTTGTGTGTTCCTATAGAGATTTCTATAGCAACTGAATTAAATTATATGTGGTGTTAAAGGCTGCAGACTTTTATAGATTAATAATGCTGCAAAATTGGTTTGTCTGGAGTTGGAACAGTCTTCCTCAATACCCAGAGAACATTGAAATAAGAGTAGTAAAGATACAGAGACAGTATAAATTTAAAACACAAGAAACTTGGCTACTTCATTTGTTTTCACACAAGTTCCGAGTGGAAAGCTGCATAAGCACTTTTACTATTGCCCTGATCTTCACTCCAAAAGGGTTGTACTGTTCTTTTAAAATGTAGTACACTGAATTGTGCAAATATAGTTAAGTATGAGCTCGTTTCTGATCATGTTGCTTCTGCTATGAAAATTCCATTGTATATATACATGACTGGAAAGTGTCTATGAAGCAAAAAAGCTACTCATTACAGTCTGATCTGTGTCCTATGAGAGTTTAAGTGTTCCATGCAAATCCCTTTAGAATGATAAATTCAGAGGTGCTATGCCTACTATAACTCTTTAAAGCTGTGCCTCCCATTAAACCTGTAGCAGTGGATATCATGTGCTCTTGATACAATTGATGTAAGAGCTGGTTTACAAAGGGGCTTATGAAGGACTCAGACAAGTAATTTCTATTTTAGTTTCTTAAGAGTAAATCTTCAAACCTTAATTTTCTCACTGAAGTACCTCAAAATAAAAGAATGACAGCCAAAGTACCTTCCCATTCATCCTGAAGTTGCTTAGAGGCTTAAAATTCTGTTAAATGAGAAAACTAAAAACGATTTATTGTTAATATTTCAGTCTAAGCAACTCTGATTCTTCTATACTCACAGTCAGAACAAAATCAGTTTCCTATTGGGAAATTTTAGAGAGGACTTAAAAAGTAGTTTGAAAGCTGAAATCAAGATGACTTCAAAAAATGACAGCTCAGGTTGGTGTATGGACAAGAGACTTATCTTTTAGAGATGATATGAGAATTTAATATAAATAATAGTGAGGATGTAGTGAAAGCAGATACTTTAAGGCATATATCAGTGTTGTAAATACTAAATGGAGTGAAAGCTGACTCACCATTAGTTTCAAAATTAGGATTATCCATAGATAATGACTGCATGTGTATAACAGGAATTAATTCTAGTCCTGATTCTTGTCCTGTGCTAGTGTTAGCCTGTGATGAATACCATTTATTGAGGCCAGATGTTTAGTCATACATTCCAACTAAGAATATAATCTGATCAATATTGTGGCAATTGGTTTAAAGTACTTAAAAAATTCCAGAAAAGAGAATAGCAAGTATAAGTAAAGTTACAATGAGAATTGATCACACCATCATTTTCAAAACTGAGACTCTGCTTGAGCTACATTGATCTGGAATAAACATTCTGTAACCAGTATCCTGCCATTTCAGACTAACAGGCTGACGTGTAATAAGGTCTTGTGCCCGAATGCTGGCAAAATATTCATTTATATCAGAAATACAGAATGTAATTTTAATGCTGGTGATAATAATCTGCTGTAATCGCAAGCCATGGTGGAGAGTTCATCACTAAAATGTGTCCTCTACTGGAAATGTTTTTCTAGTGTAGAATCAGGTTAATTCAAAGAATTAATCTGTGACTTGTGTTATGCTGAGTCAGGCTAGATAATCACTGTCTCCTTAAGGTTTTATAATCTGAGGATATGTTTATTACAACAGACTGGAATAGAAGTGCTGGATAAAGAAAATGATAGAATCCTGATTACAAACTGTAAAGATAAATTTCTTGCCAATCCCATAATTTTCAAGAAAGAAACAATTACTCAGGCTTTCTCTGATGGCTGAATTTTGCTGCTAATCCAAAATCAAGCTTTTTATTAGATATATGGACAGGAAGCACAAAAACCGAAGTGGCAAGATATTGATCAATTTATAAGGTTTACTGACAATTGCTTTGTAGATTCCTGAAGATTAGATCCTGTTCGAAATACTGCACAAATATTTAATGGGAAAAACTGCTCCACCATTTGGATGTCTTTTTTTTTAAGCAGTTCTGGATCTTAATGCTGAATTAAACTTGCTCATCAAAATGGATGTAGTCCAGAATCCTGTAATTGTCATGAGCAAATTTGGAATTAAAACTTCTGAATTTATTCAGAAACCTGTTACAACCCCTTAAACACTTTCCTTAAGACCAGACTTCAGTGTTTTTAAGATGATTAAATAACTGTAATATCCAATATAAGGGGAGTGGCTGAAACAAATGCGATTATTCAGGAGAAGGCACAAGGAGATCTTACAAATGTGTGCAAAAATCTGATCATTAAAAGAGACACAACCAGACCCTTCTCACTGGTGCTCGCTACCAAGACAAGATAAAATTGTTGTACGGTGGAAAAAATATAAATGACACCAAAACAATAAAACTTTTTCACTGTGAGTATGGTCAAGCACTGGAAGAAATTGCCCAGAGTGATTGTGAAGCCTCCATACTTGGTGGTATTCAAAACTTGTTTGGATATTGTACTAAGCAATCTGTTATAGCTGTCGTTTCTCTGAGCCAAGGCACTTGACTAGAAGTCTCCAGCCCAGACCACGAGTCGTGTCTGTGAGGATGTGACCAGGACAAGGTCAGGACAAGACATCAGCCCATGGTTAGGGATCAGGGTCAGGTTTGGTGAAGGGAAGCAGAGTCAATCAAAAAAATGGAAGGACAGGCAGGTCTTCAGGGTTGAGCAGAGGTGGTGTTGGGATGTGGGAATGTGAGTGGGCCTAGCTTGGCAAGGCCCATTTCTTGGCACCGGGAACTAGAGTCCGGCCCTGCTGCAGCATCACCGGGGCAGTGGCAGAGGGTCCTGGGCACTAAAATGGTGTCCTGAGCCATGGGCAGGATGGGGAAGGCCCTCAGACATTAAAGTCCATAATTGAACTCACGTTCCTTTCAGGTGTTTGGGAGATATTCTCCTGTGATGTAAAGGACACAGATTAACTTCCTTGGTACCATCTCTGAAAAGCAAATCATAAGGAATTGAATGAAACATTAATTCTCCACTGTTTTTCTAGTAAATGTAATGAGATGCATGGGATCCTAGAAATCTAGTTTCACAATGATGTATTTATTTTTAGACAAATTTGTCTTAATGCCTATGGTTCTTATCTTACTTAAATTTAACCTGGACTTTCAACTCAGAAAGTCTGTTCTAATCTCAAAACTATACAGTAAATACATTTTCTTTTAGTTGGAATGCCTCTTTATGTAAAAATACAAGTAAACTTTTAGCTGATATTAAAGGCATGTCTATACCATTTTGAATTCAATACTACAATGAGATACCTTGACCAACAAGGTTTAGCTCAATTTTTTTTTGTTTAATATTCTGTCTGTACTCCTAATTTGTCTTAGATGTTTCAATAAGCAGACAGATTTTCTTGCCTGTAGCATTACACTATCACATAACTCTGATACAAAAGATAGTGTTTTAAAAGCTAGTTCGGATGTTTTTAAGTGGTGCTCATTATTAAAATTGGACATACAGACACTGTGAAGCAAGACCACAATAATATGTAGTCTTAGAGTTCAATCCTGACTCTTGGAAAAGTGAATGTGGGTTCAGGCCCTTGAGGTTAGCTGCTGTGCCCCATGGGCTGTGGAATAGATGATGTCTATTCCTCCACTGGTAACCTTCATTTCAAAAACTTTCTTCCATGTGTTGTTTCACAGATGCCCAAAAGAAACACACTCTTTAAGTTTAAAATACTGTTGTATATAAGCAAAATGAAGAAAACAGTGTTTCATTTCCACAGAGAGTAAAAAGTCTCCTTCCCCACTCTTCCAAGTTCTGTTCGGCTGCTGAAGTAAGAAATAACTAAATTATCCCACAATTTCCATAAATATATTAATTGAACATATTAAGTCAAATTCATACATGATTATTTTTAAGATTAAATTTATTTAAAATCACTGCAGAATGAAGGATATTGTTTAGCTAGCTATGGTCAAAAAAAGATATCACAATACCACAATTCAGTTTTCGTGTCACTGTGTTCTACTCAGCTTAGAGGCACTGATCTTGGAATTAGTTAATATATACTTAGTGCTTTGAAAACAAAAAAAAAATAGTGCTTTTTCTGATTCTAATACTTTTTCTAATTTTTTCTTTTACACTGTTGTTATCAGTATTATATGTATTATTGTTATGATTAATGTCATGCATAGGTCTCATTTGATTTTTTGGTAATGTTAGCATAAATATTCTTACAGAAGCCTCTTACTTTGATACTTTCCAGTAACAGAACTTAGAAAAACTTTTAGAATTCTGTAGCTGAATGATGGATATTCTCTCGTGGTTATTTAAGACTTGAAATTTAATAGCATAAGGAAATGCACTCTTGAGGTATTTCAACTAGATGATTGCAGGTAGTCCTTCACTGAAAAATGTAAGTAATGCAACAGGGGTATTTTTGTCATAATATAATCATATCACTAAGTCTGTAAAAGATATGAGATTTAGCAGAATATCTGTAATTCCCAAGGGGGGTGATTATCTCCTGACAGCTACCCACTAGATTCGCCTTGCTGCTTTTATAAGAAGTCTGCTTTGTGTGAGATAATGCAGTTTAATATCCTAGAAGATCAGTTGACAGCAGTTTCGCATGTTTCACATGAAATAATCTGTCATTATGAAATAATATAACATTTAGAATGTTCTTTAGCTATTGAGAGCCCTCCTCCAATTCAGTGATCCAGTGTAGTATTAATGACAAGCAAAGTGATATGTCCAACAACCTAACGATATTGGGAACTTAGAATAAAAATGGTGAAATGTTATGAAAACTTTACTTTCTGTAGAAAGTTGTAAGATTTTTTTGTGGTTGTTCGTTTGGTTTTGATTTTTTCCATAATATTTTAATAAGTTCAGTTCAATACAATATTGCAAGAGTACAGATGAAACTGGGCTACTTTTAATCTTGCTTTTTGGGTAACAACAGTGAATGACATAACACCTCTTAGCTTAACAATGTCAAATGTAATTTGTTTCCTGGTCAGATTAAGTCCTTTTTAAGAAGTCACTGCTGGAAAGCTACTGTTATCCAGGCTACCCATTAAGGTTAATTTACTGCGTCCCAGTGACTCTTCATTATGGTAGATTCAGTAGATAAATAACTGTGTAGAACAAAGGATGAAATATCTAGACTAAGTGACATATTAAAAGTTAGATAGTAACTAATTCTCTAAACTCATCCCTTCACCATCAACAGAAAAAAAACTTCTCCAGATAGTAGACCTTATTATCCACTTAGCTCAGATTTAGTAGATTCTTAATTGTTTTTTTCCCCAACATACAGCATTCATCTCTTAAGAAACACATTTTTGTTATAATCAACCTTCTCTAAACTCTAAATGGCGCAAATCTCCATTGAAGTAACAAATGGTGAAATATGTTATCAGCTCTTCCTATACACTGATTCAATGAGATCATTTTAATACCTAATATCACACTGTCATACTTAATTGAAAAATATATGTTAGAAAAACCCAAAGAAAAAAACAACCCCACCCAGCCGCTTAATTCAAATCCAGAAGACAAGATAACAAAAAATAACAAAAAGAATCTCAAATTCGCAGAATTCTAAAGATCATTAAATTTAAATGACAAAGAATCTACTATTTCTTTCCGAATTGGCATTTTTGAAAGAAATACTCATAAGAATGGGGGTTCCAAAAATAAGTAACAAAGGATTTGCTAACAGATGTAAATTTGTACCTTTTTGTGTCTTTTTATATCTTTATGCTGAACATTTAAGTCACAATCACAAAACATAAAAATGAATTAATTCTTATTCATACTAGCACATTATTTTTATTCACTCAACAGGTTGAACTGGGTTGGATATCAGTGTTAGAAATTATTTTGAACAATGTCAACTGGAATCAGTGGAAGTACTAGTATGATATTAGATTACTGGAAATCTGGCAAGACAGAATAATGCTAAATAAATACGAATATTTGTCGACTCTTTAAAAAATACATTTTTGGCTAGCTTCATGCTTTTTCTCTCTTTTCCATAGATGTTCATAGCAACTGAGGTGTACGTGCACAGATTATCAGAGAAACCAAATTTGTCTCATGTGCAAGTAATATCATTAGAAATATTAAAGGTGTTTTCTTTTTACTCAGTCAGAAAATACAAACTACAATGTACAACTTACTTGAACAAGCAGATCTAAAAAACCCCAAAAAAACAGCTAGAAAAAGGAATATAAGTCATTACAAAGAATGGCTGGTGGGTAATGAAGCAATGATCACCTTAGAGTAACTTTGAGCAAATTAAATAGAAGGAAAACACCATGGTATCCTTGCCTTAGCCTTAAAAAAAGGACAAAAATCAAAAGGTGGAAGACTAGCCCCTAAAAAGTATTGATATAAATGGTCCACTTAATTATGAATATTAAAAAATACTTTTCTTGGAAAAGACCGGAACTGTTCATCCATAACATTTAGTCCTATGGGCTTACAGCAAATAATTTTAGAAGGCTGAGCTTATTAAGTCAGTTTATCAGCCTTGAGAAACAAAGGGTTGTGAAGAAAAAGGACAAGATGATTTCAATATCCAAGATGGTACTGAAAACTTCACGGATTGGGCATTTTATATTGCATGAAATGCAGATTCTTTCATATATTTGTAGGAAGTCCAACAAATCAGATTTTCTTCCACACATGCAGATCAGTCACGTAAGATATATGCATTTGAATTAGTACAAACATTTCAAACACAGTAAATTCATTTTCAGGCCTTGTTTCAAACCAAACCATGCATGTATGCACATCAGACTAGCACAAGACATGCAACTGGGAGATGTAATGGCAGAAATGCTGGGAAAAATTCATAGGACTCAAAATTTTGAGGTCTGAAGCTGAAAATGTTGTGTTTCATAGAACTTTGCATCAAGAAACTACTAGTATTTCTGAGAATCTTAAAAGACCCTGAAGTAAGCCAAAGTCAAGTTTAGCTTGATTCCAGCAGAGTTAAAAATGGTAGATCTCGAAGAGGCTGAACTCCTTACATGTTTTCTGGAAAACCAAAACTGTCAAAGATTGATAAAGAATATTTTTCAAAAAATTTGTAATCTTATGAAAGTTTTTTCAAAGATATATTGCCAACCATGAACATGTGAAGTGATTTTAAGCAATTTGTAATTCAGATGGAGATAAAGTAGGAACCACCTTCAATCCCTACAGTATCCTGGCTAATTAAGGAATTATTTATTTTACATCTTTTTCTTCTGAGGCATTGGCATTGTTTGACAGTATTCTTTATATGAACTTATTTCCCCAAAAAATATTCCTTCTCAAAAGAATAATTATACCTTCTTTACACAGCACTGTAAAGGCACACACAGAAACAGTTGTTCACAGTTCAAAATTCTCCCAATTTACCTCCTCTAGTCCTGAAACATGGGTTTGTCGTTTGTCAATTTATTAATGTGGAGATATCAGAAGTGAAAGAAACACTTTAAAAATCCATAGAAAGTAAATAGCAATATTTTGGTAAAATAAATTACATTTAAAGAGTGATTTAAGAAAAGAAAGCCTGGACTTGGGTGGGCTGGGAGGAGAGCTGTTCACCTCTCTTCAACATAGATCAGATACATTTTAAATTCGTGGATGGCATTCCTGAAGCAGGATGAAGGATTATAATCAATGTATATTCTTATATAACATATGAGAAAACCTCTTCTCCTAGCATTTTGGCAGAGTTTACTTTAAAATGACAAGTAACATTTTCTTAATTAAAGGCACCACTAGTATTTAGAATTATTTCTAAGCAGACATCTTTCAAGGTTTACTGTTTAGAAGTACGAAAGGAAGTTTATTATTAAGACAAGTAGAATCACTAAAGAGGAATCAATTATGGGAGAGCATAACATGACTCTGAAGCTCTTGTTTTGTAATTTTTTTTAGTAATAAAATTTAGCCATGAAAACACTTTAGATTTTAATACAGTTGAAAAATTGATATATTCTGTTTGTTAGAGAGATACTAACCTTGGTACTTGTGATGTGGAAGAAATTTGAATATACATGCTCATAAAATGCAAATTCAGAAGGAAAATATGCCTGATATTCTGACTAAAGACTTCAAATTAAGACTGTAAATAAATTTAGAATCAAAATGAAACTACAGCAAAGCATACTGGATTAATCATCACAGAATTTGAATTACCCAGATGTAAGCTCTGTATGAGTCTCTAGATCTTGGCCGAAAGAGACACTGTTTGAAAACAAGAGACTGCTAATGTTGACAGAAAACAGATAGGAAAAAAAATATAGGACAATAACAGATTTATTTCCATATAGACAACTCATATTCTATCTTCTGAAAACATGGTTTGCAAATTTTGAAATATTTTTAAGGCGTTCTGGTCTGCATAATATATATATTCTTGAAATTCAAGGTACGTTTTCATGCATTTCTATTTTTTCTCATTGAAAATAATAACAATAATAATAGCTGTTTATACCTTTTCTATCCTTGAATCTTGTCTGAATTCAAATTCTTAAGTGATATAGATTATACACTGTTACTTCCATATTTTTAAAGGAAAGTGAAAATTGTACAATATTTTTATTAGAGGTGATCTATTAGAATGATGTATTTCAAAAATTAAAGCAAAAAAAAGAAGAAAATGTTTTCTTATGTATCCTTCTGCTAGTACTAATACTACTTTGAAAAAAGTTGGAACAGTTATGAAAATGGGGTCCTAATCTATTCTGACTCAGTCATTTTTTCTGATTTTTTATTTTAAGAGTAATTTAACTTTACAATGAATACCAGTTTTCAAAATGGGACTGAAATAATTTGCTTGAATTTCTTGGAAAATCAGTTATCAAAGTATCTGGAGCAAATATATGCATTGTACATAAATGTATAAATTCTATAAACATAAATTTACATTAAAAATACAAGAGAAAATTAATAGGACAGTTGTGTCTAAAACAATGAGTAATTTTTACATTTTGTGAATCTTCAGTAAGACTTTAACAGGGAAAATATCCAAGATTATTACCATATTTCAGGGAAAAAAACAGGGATTTATTGCTAGAATACAGAGGAAGCATAGAAATAGTTTCATTTTTAGAAAATATGACTTCCAAGCAAGGTGAAAAGATGTCAAATTGTACTGTTGAAAGACAAGAAGGCTGGAGATTTAAACACATAATATAGAACACCAGAGAGGTGTTGTCCATGTCCACTATTGTGACAAAGATTTAGATTAACTGTCAGAATTAGGTTTCAAATTCATTTAACTTACCAAGGTAGTGCATTAAATCTTCACCATTGGAGGACTTCAAGAGAAATTTAAACAGTCATTTGCTACTAAGGGTTAGTATAGATGTTCTAAACTGGGGCGATGAGTTGAATTAGATCTGGATGCTACTTCTCTTTCACTTTTTATCACTTCAACTTTTTTATTGCAAATATATTAGAAATGTACAAACAGTTAAATACAATTAATTTCTGTGTTGTTCATTATTGACAATGTAGGAAATTTGGTGCATAAATGAAAACTAAAAAAAATATACCACAAAGTTCACAGGTGCAATATAGAAATCTAAATACGAACTGATATTCTGAAAAGTCTTATGCAGCTGCTATTAAACTGACTGATTATTTTGGTAACTAAATTTTGGATACCAGCTATATTTGTATATCAATTTACTATTTTCAGTTACCCTGACACCTTAAGTTTATGGCCAAATGCATCCTAATTTTAATTCTGTTGGAGTTTATCTCATAGTCACCCAGCCAAGACCTAATAGTCAGGCATTTTGGAATCATTGTTAAATCATCTGCAAATATATGCTACTAGAGTTAGCACTTTTATTATTGCGTAAATATAGCCGTAGGAAAAGCAAGTGATGCTCTAAAAACATCAGTGATCAAAGCACTCTTACAGGATACATAAAAAAAATTCTCCCTCTCCCTATGCTTCTCCCTCAGATAATTAAAATCCGTGAGTGCAGTCAAAGAACCACAAAATCAGAAAATCAGAGAATTACAGAATGCTTGCACAGAAGCACAAGCAAAGTTAACAGTGGCGGTCTGAAAAATAAAAACTAGACACGATTCCAGTATGGGGGAACTGGAATAGTTTATTGAACACGAGAAGACGATTTTAAAGGTATCTGAGGTTGGACATGTTAATGAAGGGGACGAGTTATGTTAATTATGGAATTACACAAGTTTTTACTGCAATTTCTAAATAGTTAATTTTTCTTCTAGTAGGATTACATGGGGGATAGAGAGATTACAGGGGTTTAGACATGGTTTGATACAATCATCTCAAAAGTCTTTTCTGATTTCTGCTGGAGCCAGGCTTGATCCATGAGGTAGAACTTTAACAGATCTTGTGAGAAGGGTCCAGCTCCTTCAGATCACGAGGTTTTTGTCAGCCCTTGTTTTCCTTTGCTGAAAGCTGGGTTTGGGCTCCCACAGTTAACTGAACCAGGTTGCTCAGGACCATGACCGGTTGCATTCTGAATATCTTTACAGAAGGAGACTTCACAGTATCTCTGGAAAACCTATTACAGTTGGTCACTTTCACAGTAAAAAAAGATTTTTCCTAAGTTCATATGGAATTTCATCCTTTTTAATTTGCGCCCATTGCCTCTTGTCTCAGCAGTGGGCACTACTGAGAGCAGTCTGGTTACCATTTCTTCATTCCCTCCCATCAGGTACTTATACACAATGATAAGATCCCCCTAAGCCTTCTCTTGTCCAGGCTGAACAGTGCCAGCTCTCTCAGAAAGAATTAGTATATTTCAATGCTAATAGGGTAATACCAATATTACAATGCATAGTTTGTTCCTGTAATTTCTATTGGTTCACAAAATCTAGGAATATCATGTATAGAAACATAAATATTGGTCACACAGGTTAGAAAATATGTCTTTATATGTATGTCTTTAAATGTGTCCAACTGAAATTGTAGAAAATAAATGTTTAGTGTTGGTATCTATGTATGTTCTTAGAAAGAGTGAAACTAAGGAGTGTGACTGCTCTGCAAGTATTTCAAACAACCCAAAGGCAGCATACACTTTTAAATGCACCAGGATGTGCCACCTAAAATATGTCTATGTGGAGTGTCAGGCCCAATTCTTTACCCAATCAAGTAATAGAGAATTTAGCCACTATTTTCAAAGGGATTTAGATTGATCTTAGAATCAGATTAAGAAAATAAATATTGCAAAAGTATTCCTCACTTATTTTAAAAGTATCCAAATGCAATTCACTAAGTGTGACCCCAAAAAATTCAGCACAGTATCAAAAAAAAAAACCAGTTGTGTAATTTGATGCTAAATGAATCTACCTAGACCAATTAACCTAGAACAGGCTTCCAGACGCAGCTATGTAATATCAACAGAAATAAACTCATAAAGGAGAGGAAGGTTGAGTGAAGAAAACTTCTAAGGGATATCAGGACAGAATTAAGAATAATTATAAAAAAGCCTGGGATCAAGGATCTTGCAGACAAGTTTGCACCGGAGTTCAAGATAACACAAATCATTTTATGACACTTGTAATTCACTGATGCATTAAAAATAGTCAGCAAAATACTATAACTCTACTGTTTTTAAGGGGAGAGGAAGAATGATTTCTGCTAGATTTTCTGGCATTTTAGTTGGCTAAAATTACATCTATGAAGGACTAAATTACTACCAATGCACAATAAAAAAATGTTTCATTAATGAAACAAGAACTATACATCTACACAATGTGGGTTTCTGTTGCTTACTGGAATCCCATCGCCTTTCGTTTTTTAGCTATTAAAATTCTGATAAAATATAAACATGGAAAACTAGAAACTCTCGTATTTTCCTTGAGGAAACTTGAAACCCGGTTAAATTCTCATATGAATAAAGGCAGGACCTCAAGTAGTTGGTAAATTATCCACCAGAGCCCAAGTTCTGTGAAGGGAAGCAGAACAAATACAGGCCAAATTATCTTGACCAGTTATGAAGTAGTACATGCTAGCCTGTGAGGAAATTGGAGGTAACAGTTCTAGGTTAATGTCATATAGCTCTCTTTTTTTTTTCTCTTTCGAAAAGGTTCCAAAATATTACTGTATTACAGATTTTCCATTTTTAGTATCAGCACCTTCACACTTAATGTTGTTCACACTGTTTGCTGACAATGTCCATTCTACTTGCTTATAGAAAGATAATGATAAATAATTTAAATACTTTCAGATGCCTTCCATATGAGATGCAAACTATGTAAATATTCCAGCTCATTATGAGCTGAGATAGAAACTGAAACTCAGAAAGTAGATTCTTAATATATATATATCACAACAGCATAACTAGTATAAGTAGTGCTTTTATGAATATACAGGGGAAATACAGGCTTGTTAATGTTTTCAGAAATTCATACCTGTATATTTTTAATTAAACTGATAGAATTATTGATTTTTATATAGACTGTTTTCAGAACTGCTTTTTAATGAAAAATAATTGTAATAATTATTTTATTTAATATTTATTTGAGTGTACATTATATATAGTTGTATTTTTTTTTAATTGAAATGACATTTCAAATGAAAGAAAGAAGAACTTATTACTGTCTTTTCCTAGACTCATTATAATCCTAGTCATAGTGGTATCATCCACACACACAGAATTAATGTGGCTAAATCTTCATTTCATCAAGATTTTCAAGTGCATTAATTTGCATGTTGCAAGAATAGTAACTGTAATCTCCTTTCCTCAGGCAGATTCATCAATATTTGGGACTTCATAAGTGAAACCAAAAAAGAACAAGTTAGAGCATGGAGACAAACAGTTCTACTGTAATTCAATCTTAATAAGAAATTGTCAATTCCTAATAAAGTCTTTTCCAGTCTACTTTCTATGTCTTTAGAACTTACTAGAAGTTAAAAATGTATTTTCAATTATTTGTTCCCCGATGTTTCCTTTAATAGAAATTAAATAATAATTTAGTATCCAATGTTCATAGCAAACATTCAGTGGTAGATAACTGATAGCTTAATGTTGAAGGATGGAAGGACCTAGAACTAGATGACTGAATGTGTAACTCATGATGGGAATCATTATGGGTTTTTGTAATACAGTTGGCTTGATAATAACTCATAGTTCATAGATGTAGTTATAAGTATGGAAATTCAGATGTAATAGCTTTTGGGGAGATTCAAAGCTGTTAATTTCATAACATATTGGTAATTAAGATTTAATTAGATCTGGCTCTGCTGAAATTTCATTCAGGACAAGTAGATACCAAAATGAAGTTTGGTGCCATTCAGGAGTTTTGGTTTGGTTTAGGTTTGTTTTGGTCTGAAATCTACAGTATATTTGGCATAGGTTTAACAAATAAACTAAGCATTGGGGGGTTTTGTATATTTACTTAGTATCACTGCTGTTGGGAGAGGAATGCAATATTTTAAAATCTTATCTATGTGCTTCACCCTAGGACATTTTATGGAACAATAAAAATCCTCAGGAGTTTTAGGAGCATGTTGACTGGTCACTGAGCCAGTATTGTGTGACTTTTCATCCCTGATGACTTGCATTACATATGACAAGGAAAAACAAAAAGCACATAAAGGAAATTAAAAAATCTTCTTTATTATTTTTTTCAAGATTTCTAGATGCTTATCTATAATTAATGATCCCCCATTAATCACAGTTCATATTTTGCTGTCATTTTTATCTATTAAATACACTCACATCAAATTAGAATTATTCAGTCAACTGCGAAATAGAGAGTTGTAGGTAAAACATAAGTAATGATTATTAGGAAAGATTTGTAACAACTCTGTTTCTTTCTAAATTAGTAGAAGTATTTAAAATTCCAGTTGCATATCATACACTCTGAATAAATCCTTTGTAAAGCTATAAATGGTATTTTTCTATCTAAAAATAACCTTTAGTTTTTTATACTTTTAAGGAACTTTCTAAGACAAAGCTCTGTGTTTCTTTGACATGTCTCTGTAGAACATTTTAATACAGAATAATATCACTTCTGTATTAAAAAAAAAATTCTAATTCTTTGAAATTTGCATGTTTTTCTTTGATGTTTCTGTTTTTCAGTTGCTCTTCCTGCATTATGTTTTCTAGGGGTTTTGAATACTCTAATTAGACATTATTTTGAAGACATTTATTTTGAGAATAAAACTGTTAGGTCACTGAAGAATTATCACATACTCTGTTTTTCTCAATCTTGTTATGCCATTTCTATAAAATTCAGATTTCCAGACTGATAAAAATGTGTTGTTGGAAACCAATATTTCCTGGTACCTGGTACACTTTTTGAAAGTGTGGTTTTCCTGGACTGTTGACACTAGGTAGTGAAGATGAGACTGCAAGTATTTCACCTCATTCTGGTTTATTGAGCTCTTCAACACTGTTCCAGGAGCTTTTTCACACTTTTATTTTGCAACTAAAAATGATATTTCCATGTTTTAAAAGACACTTCTGAAAGCCTGTAACAAAACCTTTGCATCATATCAGATCCTTTCCACTGAAAGAATTAAAAATCCAACCCAGTAAATTAATATTATTTTGTTGACTGCAGAGCAGATCTAGTATTAGGTGAAGTGGGGGAAATATCTAGTCGATATGCTTTAAAGATGCAATCACAGATCAGTGCTTGTGTGATCTACTGAGAATAATTTTTCTGCAGGTCACTGGTCACTTCATAGCACCCAAATATTATTTGCAGAATGGTCTGAGGGCTCGCTGATTTTTAAAAAGAAGAGAAATTTACTTAAAAGAGACATTGTCTTCATTCAGCATACTAGAGCCACACTTTGAGTATATTTTGGTGAAAATTGGATCACAGAATCACAAAATATGCTGAGTTGGAAGGGACCTACAAGGAGCATTGAGTACAACTCAGTCTTGCACAGGACCATCCCCGGGAGTCACAACATGTGCCCAGTCCGAAGGTTTCTTGAACTCTGCCAGGCTTGGTGCTGCAACCACTTCTCTGGAGAAACTATTTAAGCATCGAACCACCCTCTGGGTGATGAACCTTTTTCTAATATCTAACCTAAACCTCCCATGTCACAACTTCAGGCCATTCCCTCGGATTCTGTCACTGGTCACCACAAAGAAGAGATCAGCGTCTTCCCTTCCTCTTCCCCTCAGAAGGAAGTTGTAGACTGCAATGAGGTCTCCCCTTAGTCTCCTCCACATTGAACAGACCAAGTGCCCTCAACTGCTCCTTATACAGTTTCCCCTCAAGGTCCTTCACCATCTTCATTGCCCTCCTTTGGACATTCTCTAAGAGCTTAATAGCTTTCTTCTATTGTGGTACCCAAAACTGCACATGATATTCCAAGAAAGGTTGCCCCAGTGCAGAGCAGAGGGGGACAATCCCTGCCCTTTACCAGTTGGTGATGCTTCACCTGATGCCCCCCAGGACAGGATTGGCCCTCCTGACTGCCAGGGCACTTCTGACTCGTATTCAACTTGCCATCTGTAATGGCATTGGTTTTCAGCATCTCATTGAAATAATTTTTAAATACAAAAAGCATTAACTTTAACATATTAGGGATTTCAACAAATTAGAGGAATGAAACCCTCTCTATGATAAGTCCTAATTGATTTTCCTAGTGATCTTTTGTAGATGCATAAAAGAGTAGTCCACAGATTGTTCAATGTCCACAAAAACTAATTGCCAAACAAGGCAGTGCTTCAACTACTTGAGGTCCTCAAATAATTACCTTATTTTAAACACAATGAATAAAAAATGTCATTCAAAAGTGTCTTGTGAAGATGTTTTTGAAAGCCATTACTTCCCTCTGGAGGGAAAATGAAGAAAAATGGTATCTCAGGAGAAGACGAGTTATTTTACATTAGACAATAACACAAACAAAACCTAACCTCATGCCTGAGACAACCACCTAGCTAAGGGTAAGCTTGGTCTTTGGATCTTTCTCTAGTAACTGTTTTGAACTATACAGGTTTAATAGTTATAAGTTACAGGAAGTTTCAGAAGAAGGGCTGAAAACAGAGGAGTAGCCCAAAAAGCTATTCAGCCCAGCCTAAAATAGACATTAAAGGCAAGATTCAGTTGCCTAACTATTGGTGTTTACTATCACATTAGTCACTGTGAAGCCTCTAATACCTGTTCTGGGAGTACTTGGTTCTTAGAGCTCTAAGTCTAGAGTCAGGTATATCAGGCTTCCATGTGTGTCCTGATTACACATGGCATACGAAGTTACACCAAATAACTGTTAGTGCATAACCACATCAAGTCCTAGAGCTCATTTAAATGCAAGGGAGGTTTAGAAATCTATCTTACAAGTTTATACCTCCTTGTATATATTGCTTCAAGGTTCTTAGTCTAAAAATGCAACTCAATCATTTTTGCTGAGTTTCTACAAGATTCAGCTCAAACACAGGCATCTTATAGAATTTTAGACTTCATACAGCATCCTGATTTCATTTCATGTAACATGATAGTTAACATTCCAGAAAGAAACTTACCTCATCTATGACCTACAATACAGTGCAAGGTAGCCCAAGATGGGTTTACAAAGGGATGGTCCTATTTAAGTTTGGTATCCTTCTATTATAAAGTCACATGGCCGGAGGATGAAGTGAAGGCACTAGAATCATAGAATATCCTGAATCATAGGCACTAGAATCATAGAATATCCTGAGCTGGAAGGGATCCACAAGGATGATCGAAGTCCAACTCCTGGCCCTGCACAGGAATATCCCCAAGAATTACACCATGTTCCTGAGAACATTGTCCAAGCACTCCGTGAACTCTCTCAGTCTTGGTGCTGTGATCACTTCCCTAGGGAGTCTGTTCCAATGCCCAACTACCCTCTGGGTGAAGAACCTTTTCCTGAAATCTAACATAAACCTCCCCTGACACGATCTCAGATACTAACTTCCTGCAAGAGATACTTCAGGAAATTATATCCATGATAGATTTTTCATCCAATATTCATCAGTCTATCTCTCCCTCTACTCACAATATTTTATATCTACTTTCTAAAACTGATACAGTATGTAGAGAAATAGCTATTTGGTAGTATCTAATAGCACGATCAGGCTAATTTTCTTCGGACAAAATTAAATGTCATTATACCTCAAGCTAGAGTATAACTTATCCATGTGTTCCTTCACAGCAATAAGTGAGTTGTTAACAGTCACTGTTGCAAGACTTAATAAGATATTACAGGCTTTCCACGTTGTTGATTCTAAACACAGTAATTAGACTCAGTTACAATAAGCTTGTAATAAAACTATAATTATATCAGAGACATTTAAAAAAAAGCTGTAATGCAACAGGACAAAAAGCTGAAATAATCAACATAGGTAAGACATATAGAGTTGACTGAATCACTAAATGAGAATACATTTACAGAAAAAGATAAGCAAATTCTGGAAAAAAAACTCTAGTCACCATCATTTCACTTTTACTGCTTTACAGGGTATTTTCACCAGGAGTCTTCTGTTTTACAGGCTGAAGAGGTAGAACTTTCCTACATCTTCACTCTGATTTTTTGATTCCTGTTTAGAACTATCACAGTCCATTCTAAAATATACATGGAATCCCACACAGAACAGTGAATTTATGTTCATTTTAGTTAGCATCTGTCTGTCTGTCATGCTTCACTCTTTCAAGACCTATTTATATAAAGAGTTCAGCTGCTAGTGTGTGGATTTTAGTTGCATTTTTCCAATAGCAATGCAGCCAAAGCTTTTTTCCTCCTTAAATTTGAACCATAATTTCAAATAATGACATTATTAATACTGGAAAAAGTCAAAGTAGGAAGAATCCCAATTATCTTTGAATTAAACAAGACAAGGGAGAATACACAGACTCATTTGCACACAGTACAAAAACATTGCTTCTAACCATAACT